GGGGGGGGGGAAGAAAAGTAGCTGGAAAAGAATGTTTTGATGCATTAAATCGCATACATTTCTATTCAGCACTGCAACTGGATATTATAACTCGAGAATGAACAGTACTAAAACTGATTATTAATGATTCGGATGATTGTTACAGCTTCGGCCGATAATCTATTCAAGATAGAAAGAAAAATGTGTGAATGCTGTTGAAAAATATAAGAAAAGATGATAAAATAGAAAAAAAAAGGAAGGATGTGAAAAAGAAGTATTAAATTAGGTAAGAAATGCTTGTTTTTTTCAGATGGTGGTGATATTGAAATAACCTCAGCTGGTTTCCAGTTTCTTTTGTTAAGTCGCACAGAGCAAATTTGGACCTATCTTTTGCATTATTTTCATATGCAAGAAGCAACCGGCAACGATATCACTGCTGAAATTGAGTTTTTGCTCAGGTTCGTTACTGTACTTTGGTATTTTGCCACTTTCTTAGGTTAGATTCTTCCACTATTTCTCATTTTTTTGACTTAGTTGACTCGTTTTGATGCTTTTGGTTAACCTGCCTCCATTCCTGATTTTGCCCAAACACCAGAAACATACCATGATTGTTTCGATTATCACTGTGGGTACCTCGTCCTTGTGATGTTACATTCTTAGACTTAATTATTTTTTGGTTCTTCCCAGTCGGTTTTGTCAAATTTTTCATTGAATCGATTGGGAAGAATCAAAAAACACATTTTTCATATTTTCGATTAAATTTTAAGTTTTTCTAATATCCGTTTTTCTAATATTATTAAATTTTGAGTTTTCCTAATACCATTAAGTTTTAAGTTTTTCTAATATCAGTTCAGTGCTGCTGTTGAATAATTTATTTTCCTCGTTACTCATTTCTCCCCCTCATGATAATTCCCCTTTTTCCGTTTTCTGCCTCTTCCTTGCCGTTCTTGCTTTATCACCAGTTACTGGACGCATCACTTCATGTTAGCGCACTATACGATGGTAAAGTCAGGTTAACACTTTGCGTTGGTAGTACAAGCTCAAATATTGGCAACAACCATGGTTCCGGTGATAAAGAACGGCAGAGCAGCAGCGGCCGTGCATTTCGAATTGATGAAACCTGGTCGGAGCCGGTAAAAGGTTTTCTGATGCATCTGCGAGAACTGGGACTAATTTTTATTCGGAAGAGAAAAGACGGGTTTGTTTTTTTTTTCTAGTCACTTTGTCCAGCAGTTATATTTCATTTTAAAAAATCCAAGGTAAATCAGATTGTTTCAATAATTTTGCTACAATAATCAGTTTGGCAAAGTTTCTTTTCACAATTGATCGTTTTTGCAGGTTTTTCTTCCTAACTCCTTTACTAAACCATTTGACGAATACCTCGGATACATCTGAAATGAGTTTGGAGAAGCGTAATCAGAATGGTTTTATTGTTGTGGAAACAAATTATCGCGTTTATGCGTATACCAGTTCAAGCCTGCAGCTTGCAATACTCTCAACATTTACTGAAATGCTTTACAGGTAAATTTATTTCCTTTTTTACTGAATAATCTAGGACTGCTCGCGCAACCGGTGTGAGCATCCTGTCGCGGGAAACCCGCGAAAAGCTGGCCAAGAAACCGCGGTAAAGAAAAAAGAGGAAGGAAGGAAGGTGTGTCTTTCTTTGAAAGGCAGATACACAGTAGATGTGCTGCCAGGCTGAATCGGAAGCACAAGGACCGGTGGTGTAGTGGTAACACACTGCGCCCGGACGTGAACAGGTATGGTTCGATTCCGTACAGGTCCCGGGCAATTTTCCAAATAAAGGCTACGTTCACGAAACATCCCATATTAGTAATGTTAGGGAGACGCTCTTGCATAGCGGATGTAACTATGCCAACCTTTCGGCGTTTTGTTATTGTGAATTCGGTGTTTTCGATACTGCTTTTTTCACAAACAAATTTTTTGCCTTTTATCCACGGGGTTTCTTATTTTTTTACAGGTTCAATGATATGTCGGTGGGTGTGCTTTCACGTGAAGCAGCAAGAAGAGCTTTTCAGGTTTGTAACTTCATCATGTGTGTCTGTAATGTTTGAATCAAATACTGATGGTGTTGGACTGATCATCTGACAACAGGGGAAGACAACAGATTGACAAAGCGGACTGTTGAGCGCTACACATTCAGTACTGAACAAACACAAAAAAAAATCCGATAAAATAAAACATTCGACCTGGAATACCTCTAAGGGGGCACAGCAAGTGCAATGTGCTTAAAATGGGGGGATTGCTAGTTTCATCAAGAACTAGAAGGTAGTCTGAATTTCTCTCGAAAATTTCAAAGTTAAAATATAACTTTTATAATACCTTGAATACCTTGAACAGCTGTTGTTTCATCGATCTCTGATGTCGCTCCATCGATCAGTTGGCAACTTCTCCATTTCGATCGATCCTGAGCCTGACGAGACCAGGTGACACCATAAAGGCACACGATTGGATCTCGCCATCGTGCTGGTAAGGCGCACGATTGGATCTCGCCATCGTGCTGGGGGCCTCCCCAGTGTTCGTTTCATCGCGCGTGGGTGCCACTCCATTATCCGCTTCGTCCATCGGTTGTCTGACATCCTTGCTACATGACCAGCCCAACTTTTATAATAAGTGATAAAGTGTGAATGGGGATTGTTTGAAAACTAAGGCATATGGCTATGTTTTTTGATTTCTTCAATTGAATTTTGATTTCTTCAGCACGGCAAATTCTAGGTTGGTATAACAGCACCACAAATCATTGCTTTTCTTCGTGCAAATGCACATCCAGCAACGGTGGCCGCAGCTAATCGTTCTGGCGGT